GAGTGGCGCGTGGCTGCTGCGACCTTGTGCATTGTCAGCACTGCTTCTGTGGCCCTGCTCCGACTGTCTGAAGAGGAATTTAGGAATTTTAGATTTGTCATCAGTGCCATAATTGATGCTCTGTTCAATCTGCTTAATCTGGTATGTGATGATGGTAGGGTATTAACATACAGCCTAAAAGCTGTTATTTGTGCTTATGTGTGCCTGTGCTGGCATATTGTCATTCAAATCTCACAGATACAGATGCATTAATTTTATATATGGGCACATGGTGGACCCCAAAGCTGGTTTTAGCTTCTGGACTGGTCAGATGTTTGACTGGAGTAGAACAACATGCTGAGGCTTTAGGTAAATGACAAGTCTGCTGCTACAGTAACTTTGTTGTTGTTGTTGTTGTTGTTCGTTTTAAAGCAAAGACCGGCTTTGTAAAACTGTACTGAGCTGCTCAGAATGTTGCTATGTGGCAGCTGATTGCTCACACATTATATACCAGCCATGTAACATACTGGAGATTTTGATAATAACCCCCTGACACATGACAGGTTTATCATAACAGTAATTTTATTCCACTTTCCATTTTCAGGCTTAGGAAATCACAGTTACAGGCTCTCATCTCTGGTTTCAGAGATGAGAGCAGGAGGTATATTCAAGAGAGAGATTAAATGAAAATTGAGTAGAGAAAAGGAGAAAAAAGCCCCTGAGGGTTTCCTCTCAGCGGCAGCTGTGGCCTGTTTCTGTGCCTTTGTTGAAGGTGAAGAGACAATAAAAGTACTGACACACTTTCTGTGTCTAAGTCAGATAATGTTACCGGAGTATCAGAAAAAAATGATCCTGTGAAAAGATGTTTCAGAAAAACATGGACAGCACAGTGGACTTGGAATTATGAAGAATCTGTGTAAATATTGTGTTTGCACTAGTGAGTGAGTGCTTTGCTTTTATGTTACAATTAAATATTTATGACTTAAAGTGCCTTTTATGATAAATACCCAGCACTACTGCAGCTCGTGCACAAGCCGTGCTCTGCTTCCACAGTGGTTCCCAACATGGAGGTTGAGGCCTCTCTAAGGGTTGCAAGAAAAAGCTGTAAGGGAACATGATAGGAAATAAGGAAAAAAAACATTTTTTCTAATAATGTAGGACTTATTTTTCTCAGACACTATCTGTTCAGCTGGGTGATGCTTTATTTTACAGATTCTACATTTTCCATCCAATTTTTGTCTGTATTTAGCTCCACTTGATATTTGTTTACAAACTATTTTTCACTTGCCTACAACCTAATTTTCTAGTTTTCCTTGGACACTGCTGCAATGACCACTTTCTTTATTTACATTGTTAGTAGAAGCAAATTGTATAGGCATCATCCCAGTAAGTTACAGCTGCATACAGCTATGTTTTAGGAAATGCTGAGAAAGGTTTCCAGGAAATTAGCTGAAAAATACAGGACTTGTAAAATAAAGCCAAGAACAAATCACTTTGAACCTCAATTTTAAGCCCAGATAGACTCAAGTTCTCAGAGGAATGGAAATTGGAACATTCTGCGACAAGGCAAAACCAGTCAGCTGAGGAAGATTGTGTGGTTTGATCAAACACTCCAGAACAGCTATTAATGGACTTGGTAGTGAGATTATTTTGTCAATTATTGTTTCCAAGGCCAATATTTGACTTTTAATCTTAATATTTTTGAAGTTAAAACTAAAGGTTATAACTGGCATCCACCACAGTGTAAATGATTTTAGAGTATGATCAGCAGTTGGTACTTTTGCACATGTTTAATGTTGATTCTTATAACCTGCAGATTTCCACTCACTTCCATGAGGTCACCACTGTCCTTACTCGTCTTGTCCTCCCTCTGTGTCACTCTGTAGGGTGCAAGGTAAGAGAAGGAGGGCCTCCTGTGTCAGAGTTTTAGGATGGCCAGTGAAGGCTCCACTATTCCCAGCCCCGTAGTCTGCCAGATTGACAAGCAGTTCTTGATCTGCAGCATATGTCTGGACCGCTACGAAAATCCCAAAGTACTGCCCTGCCTGCACACCTTCTGTGAGAGGTGAGTGAAGTTACCATGCTGTTTCTATGCAGGGATTTTATGGTTTTATTTTTTAACATGTTAACAGAATGTTGAGGCTTAAATGTGCAAATGAAGAGTGGAACAAGTGGACGTGTGCAACCTGCAAGACTTGATTTTATAGATGCTGCTTGTGACCAAGAATTTACAGTCACTTAAATGCAAAAAAAAGATCATTGGAATTCATAAAACTATTTGTAAACAATCTCCAATAAGCCAACATGTTTATTTCTGCATCCTTTTAACGTTTCTGAAATTTAGGTGGGGTCAAACATGAAACCAAGATATTTTGCTTCTGAAACTTAACTTCTATTAATTTTTACTTTAAAGGTTCTAATAATCAGTGGCCATGTTGCGTTAAATTGAAAATGTTTTTACACTTCCATTTACATACAGAGGGAAGGAATATTAAAAGCCCCTTTTAATATAAACCCGTCAACAATCTACCATAACTATGATGTTACCAATGTTTCCAGTGCCTTCTCTGACAAAGTGTCAACAAAACTGAGCAGTTCAATTTATAGATTTATAGCAAGGCTGTTGTATTTGAGTGCACTAGACTGTGCAGGTGTAGATAATGAACTGGAAAGGAAGTAACTGGGTTTGTACTGCTTCTGTAAATCACTTCTGAGGTGTAAACAGTTTAACCACTAGATGGCATTAAACTTCATATAGCTGATAAACTGGTGGGCTATAGTGTCCAATGTTTTTGTTAAATGCTGATCATTTATGTTGTATAAGCAGTACAAAACACAGACACCATTCCCCCCTACTCCCTTCTACAGCATTTTTTTTTTACTTGACTCAATCACACCTCTTACCTTTTACAGGATATACCCACTCATTAACATCCCCCCTGCTCTCCTCCTTCAGGTGCCTGCAGAATTACATCCCAGCCCATAGCCTCACACTGTCGTGCCCCGTGTGCCGCCAGACCTCAATCCTGCCGGAGAAGGGTGTGGCGGCATTACAGAACAACTTCTTCATTACCAACCTGATGGACGTGCTGCAGCGGGCACCGGACAGCTGCAGCCAGGAGGCCGCTGCTCTCAACAACATCACTTCTGTGGCTACAGGTCAACTGCTCTCCTGCCCCAACCATGGAGGCAATGTAAGAGTCAGCTTGTCTGCCTGCTTCCAAACATCCTAACGCTCAACAAAAATATATGACGTGAATCGAAAATTCTAAGCTTAAGCGTGTCTGCTAAGTTGAAACCTAGCAAATAAAGCAGCTTTGTAGGTCAGTTACACTTTGACACAGCTGGAAAGCCAGCTGTGGTCTCCCTCAGCCTACAGTATTAGTTTATCTACAGTAGTTTACTTGTTTAGTTTATTAGGCGTGTGAGACATTCAGTAGAACATATTTTATTGTGTATCTTTGACTGGATGTAAGAAATTCCACAAATTGAAATTTTGACCTGATGGTGGCGCTACATGAAAAAGTAAGGAATCACCAAAGTTATAACAATTCATCCTGAGGGTGGCATGAATGTCAGCCTGCAGGTAGTGCTAGAGGAGAAGTCAGAGAATCACCACAGCCGTTAACACCATCAGGGAAGCCCAAATTTTTGTACCAACTTTTAGAACAATCCAACCCATCCACATTGAGTTACTTCACTCTGAGCTAAGGTGGTGCACTCACAACACTGTCATCCCTACAGCCTCGTAGCTAACGTGCTAAGCATTTTCAACCCATTATTAAAGTCTAATCCAGACTTCTCTGTGTTGTTTAGGTCATGGAGTTTTACTGTCCTCCATGTGAGACGGCCATGTGTCAGGAGTGTACGAGTGGCGAACATGGAGACCATCCAACTGTGCTTCTTAAAGATGTAGTGGAACAACACAAGGCCTCATTACAGGTCCAGCTAGATGCTGTCAAGAAGAGGTACAGCAGCGCCATTATGTAGATGTCATTAAACTGCACTACAGACTTCATGCATATTACCACTAAGTTACAGTTATGGTGGCATGAAGGAAACAAACACAAGCCTCCTTTTTTGTGCACATACTATTGCTTCATTATGAAAATCCTGTGCATTCATGCACCCAGGTTACCAGAGATCGACTCAGCCCTGCAGACACTATCAGAGATCCTGCAGCAGCTGACCAATCAGAAGAGCTCCATTGAGGATGACATCCACACTACCTTTGATGAGTTGCAGAAGACCCTCAACGTCCGGAAGA